CCTCCCTCTCCCTCTCCCTCTCTCTTTTATATTCTTAAATATTTTCTTAGTTATTTATTTTAATTTTGAGTGTTATTTCAAATGTTATACAAACACTAATGAATCAAAAATATTATTTGAGTAGAAAAGTAGTTCAAATATAAAATAAAAATATATTAAAGTTCATATATAGTTTAAGAAGATAACATGGAAGGAACTTCACTTATAATATATTGTTTAAACAAGAAAATAATTTATATTATTTTTAAGTAATTAAAGTTAATAAATTTTAAATTTCTAATTATTAAGACTTCCTACATAGTTTAAATAACAAAAAAATTTAATAAACAAGAGAGATAATTCTAGAGACATCCTCCAAGTTTGAGTTTATAACACTAATATCCTCCGTGCTTACGATGTTTACCTCCTTTATTCTAAATTTTTTATAACAATACATTTAATATATTTATTATAAGAAAGATATAGTTTGACTAAGTTGCCATACTAATATAACCATTTGTTTAGTTCAATTATAAACATATTTTATTAATTTTGATTTTTAGTTATTTTAACCATTAATACTGAAAAAGGAGTTAAAAGCGGAATCCCCGAGGAGTTAAAAAACGCAAATCCTTTTCTTTATGTACTTCTTTCCCTTTTCATTTCTTTTTCATTATTTCTTTATTCTGAAAATTAATATTAGAAAAAATAAACATTGAAGGTTACGTTACCTTGCTTGGAAAGTGTTTATATAAAGTAAAGTTTTAATTGATTTTAAAATGTAGGACTTTTTATATATTCATATAAGGAATAGATTTTAAACTAAAATTTTAGTTAAATTAGAACTCCTAAAAATTAGAGAAAAACTTAAATTATAATTTTGTCCAACGTAAAATCAATTTTTAGAGGGTAAAAAAGACGAAAGATATTTCGTTAAGGGCTTTCGTACTTTTAATATAGTACTAGTCTTAGGGTACGCGCTTTGTGCGTGTTTTCCATGTCAATGAATAAGATTTTCTTAAAAAATTACATAAATTAAATATTATTAAATAATATAATTGAATTATAAAATAAAAATAAATTAGATAACTTTCTAAAATTAGAAATGTTGATCCCATTTAGTAGAGAAATCATGCAAATGAAAATCTTCAAAGAATAATAAGGATAACTAATAAAAATTATTGTTAATTTTTTTCCTAATATAGAAACAAACAAGTAAAAAAATACTTTTATTATGATATTTTTTCAAATAATACAAATTGATAAGTGGCATTATAAACTTTAAAGATGACTAATATTTAATTAATAATTTATAAAAACAATAACATAATATATAATAATAATATATGGAGATGTCATTTGTTGGAACATTTATGAGAAACAAAAAAGAAATAATTAATGACATCACATTTAGAATATATTTTTATCTTTTACCATTTCATTCTTATTGCTTCAAGTATGTAATATTAATAGAAAAATAATTATTGTGTGTATGATATCCTGTCATTATTGAGTAAATTCTACTCATTTAGAATACATTTTTCTTTATGATTTTGCATGTTGAAATAATTACTGACCGTAATTTTTAAATATTATACAAATATTCAATATATAAAATTTAAGTTGATTTTGAACTTCTGAATATTAAGATTAACATGCAATGTGTTATAGTTATATTGTTGTTACACCTCATGTTTTCGTACGTGAAAGTACGCAATAAGTAAATTGATGGAAGCTCGGAAATGAGATACTACATACCGTATTTTCGTGTGTTAAAGTTTCGTCGTAAGTTAATCGACGTAAGTTCGGGAATGAGATCTTATTGAGATCATATGCATTATGCTATTTCAAACACATGATTAGAGTAAATTCGTGAAGGAGAGAAGGTTAGCAAATAGAAGAAAATGAGTTTCGTTAAAGGTTATCGATTTGGGATAAAATACGGGTCGAGCGATAATACCCGATATTTATGGACTAGTACCATACAAGGTATCATATGGCTATGATAGTAAGGTGTATAAAGTATATTAAAAGTAAGTAGTATTTTATGTAATTTGAGATAATTCTTAATTATGTGGGTAATTGGTTAATTATTGGACTAGTAAGAGAATTAATGGATTGATTAAGAAAAGGGGTGGATAATTGGATAAGTGAGGGGGTACTCACGTGGCAGCACCCCCTAAATCCCATGAATGACTCTTTTAGTCATTACAATATATGACAAAAGTTGGATAAGTTTGAGAGATCTTACCTTTAACATGGCAGCCTATAAATTTGTTAAGAAAAGCCACTAAGTGACTCACACAATATGTAGAAAGGTGTTACATTATTAGAGCATGACAAGGATTAACATTTTCTTTAGCCTTCTACACGTGAATTGCCAAAATACATTCACCTTAACAATGCAAGATAATGTTTTCTTATCCCCATTTAAGATTAGAAGATGAAGCATCACGTTGCAGAGAAATTGCATGCGTGATTTGCAATGATCAGAACATCAACGTGAGATTTTGCAAAGGGAAGTACGGTGCAATCTTTCTCAAAAATATTAGACGGATTTTTCCCTACTCCAGGTATGTTAAGGCTATCCCTTCATTCTTTTTGGCACGATCTATGCGACACGAACTAAAGGAGAAAATGCACAATTTTCATAAATGACTATTCATAGAAATATTAGGGGTGTCTATATTATTGATTCCCCATATGAATTATTATTATATCTTCTGTTCATGGGTCTCAGAAAAATATGTATTTGTTAAAGTCTATCCGACAGGCTTATTATTTTTATGACATTCCGAGAAATCTTATTAATCAGAGGCATAATGGTCTTATGACACTTCGAAAGATTTTATTGACGTACTTATCATGCATTGCATTCATTTACATTGACTCATGACCAGATGTCGTTATATACGCGTATATATGTATATATATGTATATGGGATATGGAAAAAGGTTACGGCGTTATATACGCACCACCACCTGATCAGATGGTATACGTTGATGATTTGCCCACAGTGGCCGAAATGATATGATGGATGCCCTCAGAGGCTTGATGATGTTATGAACGCATATACCTATGCATGGTATGATATTTATACGCATATGCATGACATTATAAAAATGAAATGATTCACAGAGCTATGCAGACGTATATGTCGAGTCTTTTACTCCATGTTTCTCTCATGTCTATTACTTACTGATTTTTATTCCTTACATACTCGGTACATTATTTATACTGACGTCCCTTTTACCTGGGGACGCTACGTTTCATGCCTGCAGGTCCCGATAGACAGGTCGAGGTCCTCTAAGTAGGCTATTAGCTCAGCGAAAAATGTTGGTGCGCTCCATTTGCTCCGGAGTTGCTTTTTTGGTTAGTACGATTTAGATGTGTATTGTTTGGTATGTCGGGGCTCTGTCCCGACCTTTATGACAATTATGTATTCTTAGAGGCTTGTAGATAGATATCATGTACGTAAAAGATTGCATGGCCTTGTCGGCCTATATTCAGTGTACGAGTGGCTATTTTGGTCTTAGAGGCCCATATATCTTATGTATAAGTTGGTATTACATGTTGTATTTTACTTATCTCACTGCAGCCTCTTCGGCTCAGTTATCTACGATAGTATGATACGAAAAGATATGTTATGTTGGTACTCGATTGAGTAAGGTACCGGGTGCCCGTCGCGGCCCATTGGTTTGGGTCGTGACAGTTGCATAGTCCAAATAAGGAAAGAATTTATCTAAGGTAAAATCTTTATTTATTTAAACTTTTAATTATTAGATTTTTCTACATAATTCAAATAAAAAATTTAATAATCAAAATTTTAACTGATTTAAAATTCTACATATTTTAAAATAACAGTAATTGTTTCCAATGATTATGATTATGTTTATGTTATTTCCAGACTATAGTGAGCTATATATTTATGTTTTTATTACTTTTTCATATATTTCGTTCACATTATTTTAAAATTTGATTTTTAAATTTTTCATAGTATTCATAATTTTAGATGGTGAGAATGAGTTAAAGATAATGGGTAGTCAAAATATAGACTACACTTTAATGACATAAGTATATTTTTCAAGAAAATAATTATATAGATTTTGATGTATATACGATAGTTTTATCATTTAATTTGGGATAAAAGTACGCATTTAATGGAACCATAAAATGCTTAATGAAATTTGATATGTACGTTTCTAATTAGTTTGTATGCACATATAAGAAAAAGAAAAATCTATAAACAATTTGTTCAATTGATTTATTTTAATGCCCTAAATATTATGATTTTCTATGTAGTAGTTTAAATAAGGAAAACTTTAATAAGAAAAATTTTAGTTGACTTAAAAGTGCTAAATATTAGGGGAATAATTAAATGACTATATTATCCATTGTTACCTCTATTTTAAAAGGGTAAAAAAGGCGAACAACATTTCGCTAAGGACCTTCGTGCTTTTAATATAGTATAGAAGATAAATATAGATATAGATATAGATAGATAGATATGAATATAGATAGATATAAATTCTTATTTTTTTTATATTCCTCGCAATTATAAATTTACTTTATGATTTTTAACTGTAGAGAATTTTTCCTCTACAAGAGGTAAGTGTAATATGATAAATTACAATGATATTAATAGCCTGTTTGGCCAAGCTTATTTTTGGGCCAAAAGTGATTTTTTTGGGCCAAAAGCACTTGAGGCGTTTGGCCAAGTTTTTGGAAGGAAAAAAGTGCGTTTGAGGAGAAGCAGAAACAGTTTTTGAGAAGTAGAAAAAAATAGTTTATCTCCAAAAATACTTTTCTAAGAAGCACTTTTGAGAAAAATATACTTAGAAGTAGTTTTCAAAAATTTGGCTAAATACTAATTATTGCTCAAAAATACTTTTTAAATTAATTAGCCAAACAAAAAATGCTTCTAACCAAAAATACTTTGCTTTTGAGAAAAATAATTCTCAAAATAAGCAGATTTTACAAGCTTATAAATGTTACAAAGCCAAACTTCGACGAAGGCTTGTGAAATTATCCAAAAAAGGCGCAGATCTTTTTTTCCCCTTTTCAATACAATAGGAGGGGCCTGTGGGTAGTCAGCAAACTATGGAGATTTCCTCTATGTTTCATTCTATAATGGCTCTTTCATCACCTTTGTTCTCTTCTTCTTCTTCTACTTCTTCTTTTCCAACTTCCAGTAGAAAGAGACCCAACATTCACAAGTTCAAGTTACAGTCTTCGACCTCTGCGGCAACGTAGATAACAACCGATTCTATTCCCCGGACTGAGGCAGGCGAATTTCAGAACGCACTCACAGATTATGTCTCTCCTAATTCTTCAAATCAGTTTCCTGTTTTCTTTACTGATAGACAGTCGGCAATTCTTCAGATTCAGGAGTCGTCTGACTTGGGTTCTGCTCTTCCAAGGTTTGGGGTTTTTTTTGGGGCTTGAACTTGAATTAAGTTTTTTTTTTGGGCTTGAATTAGGGGTGTATGACAACTGTTAAAGTCAGCTCGTTGGTCAAGCGGGGTCATCTGTTGTTACCATTAAAAAAAAAATAAAAAAAATAAGGGTGTATGACGGAAAATGGAGAAATTATAAGTCCATCACTTATGGGTGGGAGTCATTTTCTACTATAAATATTCACTTTTATTCTCTCTCTTTCAATTTTAGTCTCACTTGTTTCAATTGTCCGACAGACATTATAGTCACCTTTAATTTGACACAAAACGTCAAAACATGAAAATATTTCTCTCTGTAACTTATGTAAGTGGCTGTTGGTTCTTGTATGTGCTTTGACGGTGAAATGTCAGGTACCCATTTTCTGGGTATTTGCAACATTTTGTCCGTCCTTTAGAACGACACTTGAGATGTTCAGTTGAAATCTTAACTGGGAATCGAGAAAGAGTTTCTAATTTTATGCATCTAATTGTATTAACGGCTTTTCAGGCTTGGTGAGACGCTTAAAGTACAGGATATGAATGTGATTTTGCGATATTTTGGGAAGCTAAGTAGACGACAGGAGCTTTCTCAGGTTCTGTTAGCAAACCTATCAAGTTCTCTTATTTTGTTAATAATTATGCTTTGAGTTTCCAATGTTTTTACAGTCTTTCTGATGGTAAGGCAATCAGTAGTATCTGGTTCTCCCTTGGTTCCAATTTGTGTGGTAAAGTTTGATTCGACATGAAATTTAAGAAAAAATATGAAAACTTTTAAAACTTGTGATCTTAAACATGCATAACACTTATGTAACTATAAAACTTTTGAAACTTGTGTGGTCTGGAACATGCCATGACATTTTTGTGGCTATAATTTTTTTTATATTCTTGTACTTCTTGAATTTCTTATATTTTTGGGCTTCTTGATCTTGCATCATTCTTCCCTGGTTGAAAAGACTCGTCCTCGAGTCTAACGGCTTCCATAGACAACGCAAGATTTTGCTATAGTGAAAAATGGGGACCTAATGTTCACTAGGTTTTAAGTTACATTTTACTAGCTTATCATAAAACTTCTTCACATTGTAAGAAAACTTAGCATTTGGTTTAACTAAATCCCACTTTTCAAGTTTTAACTTTTTACCAAGTCTTCCCAGTGTAATCTCTCTGTATTGACTATCAAACTTCAACTTACGATATGAAGTTATTGGTGTTAGAACTGCATAAAACTTAACCAATTCCATGTCTAGCTTTGAATTAAGCATGGAGTTCAATGCTCTTCTTGGGAATGCATCAATTGCAACGCTTGTACATTAATAATCACTTTGATGATAGTAGTATATATTTATATCATGAAGACATCTTGTTTCTCCAATATACCTCAAACTCTCTATTATCCATTCTTTTTTAGGTAATCCTTCCTCTTGTTCTTGCATATTTTTGTGGAGTTAGTAATTAACGCAATATGCTACCTTGTTTGGAACGATAAAGTCAACAATCAAGTCAATATTGTATTTAGCATCTCTGAAAGGAAGAAAGTCAATGACACATCGTTGGATACTCCAATGGATTGTCATAGAACTTTGGTAGTAAAACCCTCACCTTGTGGATCTAGTGCATGTTCCTTGTCTCTCTGATAATGGTTTTCATCAGTTTCGTCCTCTTTCTCTTGATTATCTAAATATTTGTCATATCATATTGGGCATATGGTGCCTTGGTACTCTCATGTCTTGGTCGGCTTCAACCTCTTTAGTCTGCTCAATATATCTTGCTCTACGAAGTTGAATTGGTGAGGATATTGATGTGGTAGATGTGGCAGTAGCATTGGTATGTTATGTGGTGGTGAGGTAGTGGTGGTGGAGGTTGTAGGCTTTGTGATGGATTTGGTGGCTTATTTTGAAGCACTAAGCGATCAACTAACCATTGATTCCTTCAAGCCATTTAGATGCACTTTAATTTCTTCATTATCTCGTTCAAGGACCATAGTTTTTAGTTTTGAAATTTAAATTTTAGATCGATTGAAGAGGATCCCAAACTTGCTATTTGCTTCTCTAGCGACATGATGAATAATAGCAAATCAAGACTCGGAACTTGGAACTTGTGCTCTGATACCAAATTGATGTACTTTCAAGGTTTTGTACCTCTCAAGCACAAAAAAGAGAGAAAAACAAAAGCATCCTACTAAAGTTTTTCACAAAGTGTTCTTTAAAATCACGTTAGAAGAATGTAAGATGAAAAAACTTTACCCACACGTTCCTCAATCCCACAAGATTGCAAGAAGCATTGAATAAGCGAAGAAAAGGAAACAAAAAAGTCATTCACGTTTTTGAAGCTAATGCTCAAAGAAACTAATCACCCCTTTTTATTTTCAGCATACTGAGCTCTTTAAATAGGCCTTACAATGAGTAAAATTGATAAGGTTAAGGAAAACTAATCCTAATCAAGCTAGAACAAGAATAAGGTTAAGAAAAACCTATTTAACTAAAATAGGAAGAAGAATTCTAGTAAGAAGGGATAACAACTAACAATCCTAGGTTGATTAGAACTACAAATATAATCCTACTAAAACAAGAATCAAATTACTAGGAAACGGGAAATAAGAAATCCTAATCTTCAAGGAAAAGAAATCATATTCTTGAATAGATTCTTGGACTTCTTGAATTTCTTAGATTCTTGGCCTTCCTGTTCTTGCATGAGTTACGGTAGACCACAATGGTTGTAACATATTGGCCGTGCTAGCAAACTTGTCGAAAGCATGTGACATGTCATGGGCGGCTTTCCAGCCATGCCCCATGACCCCTTGGACGCGCC